AGGGGGACGGTGGCGGTGGCGGGGGCGGGGGCGGGGGAGGGGGTGGAGCATTGATCGGGCGGTTGTTGCCTGCCGACATACACACACGGTGGGTGGGGTGAGGGGCGTTCGTCTTGTTTTGTGTGCATGGTGTGCGCACCGTGTGAGCGATAGTGGATGCCCTTGGGCCGTCTGAGTGTGTGGCCGTACTCTTCAAGCCATGACGGGACCGGCTGCATATCCACACACACACACACACAGACACACGCGTGTGTCTCTCCATCTCGGTGTGTCTCGGTCAGTCCGTGTGACCTGATTGGTTGATCTGAATTTGTCGATGAGGTCTCGCGCGATGGCCCTGTTGATGCCGTTGAAGTAGCTGATCGCACAGCCGTCATTGCCTACACACACACACACACACACGAGTGTAGACAAAACACATGTACACAAATAAATGTGCCGAGTACACATGCCATTAGGTACCGATTCTGCCGGTGCGGCCGATTCTGTGAGTGTACTGGTCGATTGTGGGCGGCAGGTCGTAGTTGATCACACAGCAGATCGACGGGAAGTCCTACACACACAAACACATGTATGCCCGTCCACTTGTGCCTGGTCCATATGTGTGTGCAGCGAATGTCCGTGCCAGCTGCCTACCAGGCCTCTAGCGGCGAGCGACGTGGCCACCAGGATGCGCACACCTGTTTATGAATGGGCACGTACGCGTAAGCGACAAATGCATCTGTGTTGTGTGTGTGTGTGTGTGTGTGTGCGTACCATCATCGCGCTTGAATGCCCGGACACGGTCGAGACGCACCTCCTGCACACACCGAAACATACCGATATATTCACATGTGCATCCCCTCTACAAAGGTGGGTCGAGCAACGGACCTGGCTTTGTTTGCCGTGCAGTGCGAGCGATTCGTAGCCATTCCGCGCCAGCAGACTGACACACACATACACATACACATCGATCTGCGTATGGGTGGATCGGAGGCGTTGTAGTACAGAAATGCATCACACGCACCTTGTGACAGTGTCGGTGGTGGTGCGCTTGCCGGTGAAGATGATGATGCGGCCAGACAGACCTGTACACACACACATACACATACACGTGCATGTAGCTCATGGTGGATTCGTGGGCACGTGTGGGTGTGGATGCACCTCTGAGGTCGTCGAGCAGCGCCTGGTTCTTGTCGGCCTCGTCAGCCCAACGGACGTACTGACCACAGACAGACAGAGGGATATGTGCGCGTCATTCTCTCTCTCCCCGTGTGTGTGCGTGCCTGTTTGATGGTGTCTGTGGTGCCGCTCGGCTGGCCGATCTGTATGCAGACGTAGTCATCCTTCAGCACCTCCTTTGCGAGAGACAAGACGGCTTCCTGCACCACACACACCCGGCACACACATGCATCCACCCAGCGTACACTTAGACAGAAATGGACAAACGTGCATACAAACATGCCTGGTAAGTGGCGCTGAAGAGTACGGTTTGCCTGACGTCTTTCTCAGGCAGATCGCGGCCATGCAGCACGGCTGACACCTGCGCACACCACACACACACACATCCGTCCATCCATCCATGTGTGTGGGGGTTGGTGTGTGCAGGGCGTGCCTGTTCGTCGAATCCCATGGAGAGCATGACGTCGGCCTCGTCGATGGCCAGGGAGCGCACAAACATCAGAGACACCTTCGGGCTGTCGATCAAATCCTACACACACACATCCATGTCGACACACGCACCTGTGTGTGTGGGGGGGGGGCGGGGGGGCGGGGGGTGTATAGATGGCTTACGAGCAGTCTGCCCGGTGTGGCGACCATGACGTCAATCTGAGTGCGATTGATAACCGACACCTGCGCGTACCCACACACAGACAAATACATATCGACATCTCTCTCTCTCTCTCTGTGTGTGTCTATGTGTGTGTGTGTCTATGTGTGTGTGTGTGTGTGAAGGCATCCAATAGACGCACTTGTTCACTGGTAGTCTCCCCGCCGTACACCGCCATGTGCGTCACGTCGGTCTTGGCCAGCAGATCTCTCACCTGCACACGCACACACACATCCACACACACTTAGGCACATGCACACACACAAGTCACCTGGTCGCTGATTTGCACGGCCAGCTCTCGTGTCGGCACGAGAATCAGCAGCAGTGGGGACGCCTGCGCACACACAAAGACAGAGAGAGCGCGAGAGGATCACCAACACATTCATGTGTGTGTGGGGACGCTTGCATGTGTGGACGTGCCTGTGCGGCCTTGCCGGCAAAGTATGGCCTGAACACGGGACCATCCTTGAGCACATTCCCCTTGCACACACATACACATAGATACACACACATACACACACATACACATACACATGGACATAGACATAGATACACATATACACACGTGTGTGTGGGCAGCACAATACCAGCAGTGGCGCCAGGAATGCCATCGTCTTGCCGCTGCCCGTCTCGGCCGAAGCCAACAAATCGCGGCGCGCTGATCAGACACAGACACACACACGTATACTTATATGTGTGTGTCTGCGTGTCTGTGTGCACCTGCTATGATGGGCATGGCCACTTTCTGAATGGGCGTCGGCCGCTGGAACCCCCGAGACAGAATGGCCTCGCACACCACACCGCCCACACACTCCCTGCACCCACCATACACACACACAGCCAACCTCATGTGTGCACACACACGTTCACACCCACCCACCTAAAGGCGTCATCGTCTCTGAAAGCCGTGACGGCTTTGGGCGCCTCGGGGCCGCCCCGGGTATCGACTGTGGCTGACTGGGCGTCGAACCGGTCGAAATGCACACCTGCATTCAGCCATCCATCCATCCATCCAGACGCCATGTGTACGGGCCTGTATTACCCTCCCTGGGTCCCCAGTCAGCGTCCTCCTGGTCGTCATCTTCGGTGTCCGCCGACGCTGCCGCTGCTGCTGGCTCACTGGGGGAGGGGGCTGACACGAACACACACACATTCATGGGCCTCATAATGTGTGTGTGGGAGGGCAAAGGGGCAGAGGGGGTACCCACTCATGCGTCTGTCGTCTTGTGTGCGGCGGTCAGAGGAGCGAGACCGGGATTGCCTGCACATATTCACACATGGATGGGTGCGGTGCACAGGGATGCATTCCCACACGCATAAACACACACCTTCGGTCGGCCCCTCTCCTCATAGGCTCATACGACGGCGATCGACGCGACACGCGCTGCACACAATTGGCATGACACACTCACACACATGGACAAGTTTATGGGATGTGCCCACCTCATACGATCCGCTTCTACTTCTGCTCCTACTCCTACTCCTACTCTTGCTCTTGTGCGGCGTCACATTGGGATGGGCTCGCCGCTGTGCGTCGGTGGTGTGCATCACTGGCACCTGTGGGGGAGGAGGTGGGGGTGGGGGAGGGGGTGGCGGTGGTGGAGGTGGAAATGCCATGAGTGGCGGGCCGGGTGCCGTCATCGGCGGCTGCATGATGCTGTGTGCGGTCATTGTGTAGCCAGAGGGGGCGAAGCCAACCGCCTGCGCACGCACGACACACACACAACAGAGGACAAACACGTGTGTCAGGGAATCGAATGTGACTGTGCGTGTGTGTGTGTGTCTGTGTCTGCACCTGGGTGTGCTGTTGGTTGTGTTGCGGCGGTCCTGGGGGAGCGAAGCCGCCATATGGCTGTGGCTGCTGTGGCCTCGCGTGGCTGTAACGATGATTGTGTTGCTGCTGGAAGGAGCCATTAATGTGCATAGCATTCTCCTGTTGATGCTGTTGATGCTGTTGATGCTGGAAGGGATTCCCCGCGTGCTGCTGCCACCGGCTCCTGTTGGGTTCCATTCCCGCAAAGATCTTTCGTCAGATCAGCGGCTAGCTGAGTCTGGTGGGTGTGTCGCCGCTATCCAGGCTCATGTGCCTGCATCGATCAAGAACAGGACATTCATTGCTTTCCTTAGGGCACCTTCGCCCGTCCACCAATACTGCAGAAATAATGACCCAATCGGGGAGAGATCTCTCACTGCTGGGACATTCGTCCCGCTACAGCTCCAACACGTCTATCAAACCACTTGTTCCCTTCTGAATCCTGTCTGCTCCCTCGCCTCCCTCCCGACTGCCTCTGAACTGACCTCAAGACTCTCTGTGATCCCTCTTTCTGTTCCCGCTCACGCGATGGCGACTCGGCGGAGCGCTGTGCTGCTGCTGATCACTGTCGTACTCACGGCGGCCGGTCGGGTCGTCGGGCAGGTGAGAACGTGCTCGCGCCATGACCCATCCGCTCATCCATTTGATGCTTTGGTGTGGTGTGGCTCGAATGACTCGTGTGTTCAGGTCCATTTGCGTGGCCTGCAGGGATTGCCTGACGGTACGTCGCTGTCTGCCTTCGAGTATGAGGGGCTGGTCCGTCTGCTGAAGGGCAATGACACCACACGACTGACCTCACTCTACCGGTAGACGCACATGATGCCAACAGCTGGGATGATGTGACAGCTGATGGGCAGATCTCTCTCTCTCTCTCTCTCTGTGTGTGTGTGTGTGTGTGTGTGTGTAGGACGTCTGTGCACGGCACCACCTACGACGACCTGCTGGACCGAGTGGGCGACGCGAAGCCTCTCGTGTTCGTGGTTAGGAATGGTGAGTATGTCTTCGGCGCCGTCATCAGTGAAGGCATCCGGCTGCCCGACAGCTCGACCGGATACGTCATGTACCCGTGTAAGGTGTGGTGGTTCTCGCTGGCTGGACACTTCGAGAAGCCGATCAAGATCAACCTCTACGGACAAGAGCAGATTGTGTATGCAGCGGGGAGGGAGGGACATATAGATGGTGCAAATGTGCGGATCGGTGGGCGAATGTGGCTGGGCTGGAGTGGCCTTGGCCCTGGCCGGCCTGCTGATGACATCCGCAGCTGCAGGCAGTACACCACCGGCAGAAATGTGCCTTCGGGCTACACGGGAGAGAGGGAAGAGGATGAAGATGCTCTGTTAGGCGGGTCGAAGGATTTCATGGCTGAGGAGATAGAGGTGCTGCACTGGGTGCAGTGAGTGAGAGGCGGATGTTCGTCTCTGTCTGTCTGTCTATCTGTCTGTCTGTCGTTCTTCCTTTCTTCCTTCTGTCGTCTCTCGTCGCTTCTCTTTTTCATGTCCCTTTCTAGTGAGGCCGTCTTGTGTATATGTATAGAACGGCACAATGTAGTATAGGTCAATCGGGCTTGTCTAGCGATTACATATGCGATATGTGCAGATCTGGCATTGTACGTGATATGCTTGCCTGCCTGCCTGCCTGCCTGCCCGTCTGTCTGTCTGTCTGTCTGATACGTAAGTGCCTGTCTGTGCTGATCGACTGGCCGTCATCAACTGCCCCACTTGCACTATTTCTATCTCATCCACCATGCAGCCATACCCAATGCCATCCTGCCTCACTGAGAGGCCTTTCATCTGTGTGTCGCGTGAGAGGGAGGTGTGCATGCATATATGGAATCTGTTTGCAGTGGGTTACTTCTGGCGTTTCTGTTTTTCCCGTGGGGTTGCTGGTCAGTGAGTGTTGGGTGTGGCTCTTGCATGTGATTAATCGTGGGAGCATGCCTTTTGTGCATGCGATGCGTGTGCAGTGGCCTATCGTTTTTAGGGTCGGGCCGCGTCGATGTGTATGGTGGCTATTTTGGGTGTGGCTCTCTTTCTGTTTGTTTCTTTTGGGCTGAGTCGGCATGTGTATGTTGTCGACGTGCTTGGTGTGCATGGTTCTTTTGTGTGCATGCATGTCCAGAGGCTCCTGTCTGAACTAATCGTCTTTATCGTCTTTACGGTCGGGCCGCTGGATCTGTTTGATGTGTGAGTATTTGTTGTAGTGGATGAGGAGATGTAGAGGAGACACGTATGCATATGTGAGACATGCATGTCCATCGTCAAGGGTAATCACCTCGAAACTGAAGGTTTCACGGAAGAAGGGGCACCGTGCTTGTCGTTTCTTCGTCCAAGCGCAGGTCCTTTCCTCGTCTGGCAGATCGACCTCTCACGTCATTTCAGGGAGGATAATGGGTCCTTGCCTCGTGCCTCGCTCGGATCTCATCTGGCTGGCTGCCTCTGGTTGACTTGACCAAACGAGGCTCACTGTCTTCCCTCCTTCTGCTCCCGCGATGGCAACTTCTTGTATCGTGCTGTTGATGATCACTGTCGTACTCACGGCGGCCGGTCGGGTCGTCGGGCAGGTGAGAACGTCCTCGCGCCATGACCCATCTACTCATCCATTTGATGCTTTGGTGTGGTGTGGCTCGAATGACTCGTGTGTTCAGGTCCATTTGCGTGGCCTGCAGGGATTGCCTGACGGTACGTCGCTGTCGGCGTCAGAGTATGAGGGGCTGCTCGGCCTGCTGGGGGCCAATGGCACTACACGAGTCACCTCACTCTACCGGTAGACGCACATCATGCCAACAGTGCTGGGATGATGGGCAGATTCCGTGTGTGTGTGTAGGACGTCTGTGCACGGCACCACTTATGACGACCTGCTGGATCGAGTGGGCGACGCGAAGCCTCTCGTGTTGGTGGTCAGAAATGGTCAGTACTTGTTTGGCGCCTTCATCAATTGCGGCATTCTGCTGCCCGACAGCCCGACCGGCAGCAGCATGTACCCGTGTGATGTGTGGTATTACTCATTGGCCGGCCACTTCGAGAAGCCGACCAAGATCGAGATACCACGAGAGGGGCAGATTGTCCATGTGGCGGGGAAGGAGGGAAGTGCGTTGGGTGCAAATGTGCGGATCGGTGGGTATCTGCATCTGGCGGCTGACAGCCGTGGCAGCCGCCGGCCTGCTGACGACATCCGCAGCTGCCGGCAGTACACCTTCAGCAGCAGTGTTCGTACGAGCTGCATGGACACACGGCAGCAAACGGTGGCCGATCGCGACACGCAGCAGATGGAGAATCTGTTCAGGATACATGACCAGAATATGGAGACTATAAGGTGCATCGGCCGCCAGCGGGAGGAGCAGCAGCGGCGGGCGATACCCGACAACCTGTTGGGTGGGTCAAGTGAGTTCATGGCTGACGAGATAGAGGTGCTGCATCTGGTGCAGTGAGTGAATGCGGCTGATCGATGTTTGTCTCTGTCTGTCTGGCTGTATATTTGTCGTCTCTTGTCGCTCCTCTTTTTCATGTCTGTCGCATGATGCGATTTGCATGCTTCCTCTATCTCGTAGGCCTTTTCGTCTGCGTATTGTGAAATATCGTGCTTCACTCTTAGTACAGGTCCATCGATCTCGTCTCCTTGACACTGTGTGTATAGCGTAGCAGACACAGGCAGACAGACAGATGGTTGCGTGACTGACTGAATGGGTCAATGCATGAGTGGCGTCAATCAGAGAACCGATTGACCGCCTTGTGTTGTCAGACTGGTGCATAACGCGCAGCAAAGGAATCTATTCAGTCTTGAAAGAGTGAGGCAGAGAGTGAACCATTCCGGAAGGCAGATCGACCTCTCACGTCATTCATCGGCTGTGCTCATTCTCGCGCGTGTGTCGCCGCTGTCCAGGCTCTTGTGCCTCCATCCGGCAAGAACAGGATATTCCATTGCTTTCCTTAGGGCACCTTCGCCCGTCCACCATTTTTCCATTTTAGCTTTTTGTACTGTGGGTACGCGGCTCTTTGGCAATGACACCCGTCGGCACTTTGGTACACACAGCCATAAAGATCAATTGCCAGCTACCGATTACATCCTCTCGTTGTCGTATGGTGGTTGTGCAGGACACGTCGTTGTCTGAGTCCCAGTACTCCAGCCTGCTGGGCCTGCTCGGCAATCCCAACATGAAGCTGGCATCAATCTATCGGTACGCTACCTGCTCTAGGCAGCGTTGGACTGACTCTCACGTCAAAACAGAGGCGTAAGTGTGTGTGTGTGTCTGTCTGTGTGTGTTTCAGGTCGTCGCGTGACGGCAGCAGGTACGAAGATCTGCTCCGCTGTGTGGGCGACAAGACCGGCCTGGTGATCATCATCCGCAAGGGCAAGTATGTCTTCGGCGTCTACATCAGTGCCGGCCTGCAGGAGCCCGACGACCCGACCGACACCCGCAGATGCGAGTGCGATATACTGTATATCTCACTGGCCGGCCACTTCGCCACACCGACCAAGATCGACCTGCGGGGAGGGCTGCGGGGGTGCGGGGGGCAAGCTGTGTTTGTGACGGGGAGGGAGGGAAGTGCGGGTGGTACAAGGGTGTATGTTGCCGGGTGTCTGTGGATGGGTTGCGAGAGTGATGAGGGGCCTGCAGTCGGCATCTGCCGCTGCGAGCAGTACACCAATAGCTGGAATGTGCCTGCTGGCTATACCGGAGAGAGAAATAGCACAGGCGATGCTCTCTTGGCTGGGGAGGAGAGTTTCCATGCGGATGAAAGAGAAGTGCTGCACGTGGTGGGGCAGTGAGGCATACACTTATCGCTCTACCTAAGCCAGCGATTCTTTACGACTCCGTGGCTTGTCTGGCTCTTGTCTATCTCCCTGTCCATCCGCCTAAATGGGTGTGAATGCATTGGGGTACGGTGCGGTGTGTCGCTGTCTAATGCACATCACACAGACAAGCAGCTATGATTCATTGCTGTGTGTGTGGAGGTTTGTGGTGCGACAGGCGGGACGAACGACGTTGAATGACACGTACGTAATGTATGTATCCATTTGTCTGTGTATGTACATAAGCGGGCATGCAAATGCGAGTGTGGTTGCACGACCATGTAACACACACCATCACTGCAAACATGCCTTCCTTACGTGTCGACCATCGATCGGTCGATCGATCGACCGACCATCAGACCTATGCGTGTGTGTGCGTGCAGTAGCTAGCTGGCTGTGTAGATGTATGCTTTGCGCAGCCATTTGGCACAGACAGCCTTCCATGATGGTGAACGAACATATTCCATAATGGATATCCCAGTTGAGAGAGAGTGCATGTGTGTGTGTGCGTACGTGTGTGTGGCCACCCGTGACTCGGAATTGGTATCAAGACGTGATTTGTGACGCTGTTGGTGGTCAGCCACCCAACATTATTCAAGCGCACGTAGCACGCAGATCACCGACCCCTTCTTTCCTTTCGCCGTGAATGGCGGGTCCTCTCCCTGCCAGTGCTGCCAGTGGGCAGATCTGATTGTCCGGAGAGATGTGGGAGGCGATCAGCTTGGGGCCGTGGCCCCAGCCTTCGATCGAGCCGCTGCCCTGCTCCTGCTCTGAAGCTCTCTTCCACCACCTCTCCCTCTCTTTGACCTCTAAATCGTCTCCTCACCCGTCGGCAAGGTTTTTGCAGTGCGGCAGTCCCCCGGCTGCACCTTGCCCGTGTTTCTGTCGTCATCATCAAGATGCCCGCCATGCCCGAGGAGCTTGGCGAGGGCGCCGCAGTCGGCGCCGAGTGCATTGTGGGCCTGGTGACCATCATCATCACGAGTTGCCCACACGCAAGGGTACAACTCCACAAGCCCCAATGCATCTGAGACACGACTGGCCGTCTGTGGGTTCTCGAATGCATGTGCTGTGCCTGATGCATTGGATGTGTTTATGCAGACGGCCAACGAATGGCTGTGGGGAAGGATATGGCGAAAGGTCAAATACAACCCCAACATGCGGTATGGGGGGAGGGGACCTTTTGATGCATGCATGCGTGTTGCCCGCATTGACTTATCCATCCATTTCTTCATCAATGGTGAATGCAGGAAGAGCATCACGCCGCGCTTCATCGCCGACTGCATCACCACCACTATCATCACCTACCTGGGCGTGGGCATGGTGCTCGATGCATTTAGCGGTGTCGGCGGCCAGACCGCCTCTCTGTTGGCTGCGGGCCTGACGGTCTATGCGTGCGACATCGACGCCGCCAATGTCGAACACACCAAACACAACGCCAGTGCCCACGGTACGAACATTGGCAAGAGCACGGCAATGGGTGGCGGATGTCACGACATATGCATATCCATATGCAAAATTGCTGCCAAATTGCTGCGTTGTGTGTGTGCAGGGGTGGGAGTCCTCGAGCGCCTCTTCATACGCTGCGGCGATTACTTCAAGAGGGTGGCCAAGCTGGCAGCCCGCTGGGCCATGAAGGGCACGAAGTTCGCGGCCATCCATTTCGACATGCCATGGGGCCAAGAGTATCAAAGGAAGACCTACTGCCTCGACAAAATGGGCGACGGCAGCATGGTACGTGATGGACGGACAATCTGTACCATATGTATTTCTCTCTCTCTCTCTCTGTGTGTGTGTGTGTGTGTGTCGCTTACATGACTTGCAGTCGGCGTTCAATGTGCTCAACGTCGCAGCATCGCTGGCCGACAGCTTCATCGTCAAGTGCCCGAAGAATGTGCTCATCGCTGATGTGGTCAGTGGCTGAGGCGCCGTATGTGTGTCAGATGATTTGTATCTCCATGTGTGTGTGTGTGTGTGTGTCTGTGCGCGTGCAGATGAAGTTGGCGGACTACCTGCACCGCGTCAAGGGTCTGACGGGCGAGGCGCCGATGCCTCTCGTCGAGGTGTTTATGAGCGGCGACAAGACGCACATGGCCGTCATCTACATGGGAGACATCGCCGCCAAGTAACACACGCAGACAGACAAACAGAGAGACAATGCAGCGGCCGCATTGATGTGTTTGTATCTCAGGCGATTGGCAGACACCCCCCCGGCCGCCCGCGTCCGCGACCTCACGGGCACGCCGCTGACCATCGAGGAGGGTGCCAGCAGCATGAGGGCGAAGGCCAGGGGAGTCGGCTGCGCCAAGGTGCAGTTCCAGGCCCGCGCATAAGCGCGAGACACATCTAGAAACGTGCCCCACTTGCTAATGCGAGTGGCGGCATGACAGACATACTGTCGGCGGTAGCTAGCGCGGCGGCAGCGGGACGGACAGACAGTGTGGTGTGTGTGTGCACGTCTGTGTGTGTGTATGCGATTGACTGGCATTTTCTGAAGGACAAGAGTTTATTGACGTACGTATTGACGTCTGTCTGCGTATCTCTGGCACACAGCCAAAGGGAAAAGTTGGCAGTGATTGTGTGCGGGCCAACTCATTCAACGCATTCATGTCTGGTTTGGTACCAAAGATGACATAGAAATCAAAACACACACCACACACCGCACACAGAGGTGTGGTCCACACATGGTGACCCAACCACACCGATTCACTCGCTGCCGCCACCGGCGACGCCTTGCTTCTTGACACCATTGCAGCGTGTTTATCTGTCGACCACACACAAGGTCCTCTACTCCGTGTGTGTGTGTATTGGTGTGTTTATTTGTTGATCAGTGAGTTTGTGTGAGCAGTGGCTGGACTGACTGCAATTAACGAGTGACGGCTATTTTGAGTGACGGTGGCTGCGCGTGTGTGTTTCTCGTTATCCTGCCCTGATGTGTGTGTGTGTGTGTGTGTCTGTGTGTGTGTGTTTGTCCATTGTGTGCGAAGGCGACTTCATGCAAGCATCCCTTCCACGTGTGGCGGCGCTTTGTGCGGCCATTTGGCATAGCGGTGAATGAATGGCCGTCTGTCTGTCTGTCTGTCTGTGAGGCCACATACACTGTCATTCACTCGATCAACAACACACACACTGACAGACCTACTTACTCCAACGAACACATCAGGGGAGGACAACGATAAAAAGACAGTCAGCCATAGTCACTCATTCGTTGGAGTCAGTCCAGCCAGCGCACACACAAACTCACTGATCAGCAGACAAACACACCAATGCACAATACACACACACACACTGGGGCACCAGCAGTGTGCCGGCAGATCAGGTACACCTAGACGTGGACAGGCAGACAGACAGGGGCGCACAGAGGAGGGCACCTCCTCTGTGCGCCAGACAGCACTATAGAGAGTGGCAAAAGCACACATCTTTCTCTCCCTGACTACTGCACCTCTATCTCATAAGCCATGAACCCATGCGACGTGCACACACAGACACACAGCATAGTCGAGGAGCTCTACAAGAGCCCCCCCGTGCAGATAAGCATCGCTACTACCATCCCGCCCCACCGCAAGCCCCCCTGACACACCGCTGCGCTCTCAGCTGGATCGGATGTTGTCGTGAGGGGTGCGCTAATCGGCCCGGTTGTTGTCGGCTGGGGTGTTATTGTCGGTGTGCTGTCAACTGGTTCGGGTGCTGTTGTCATAGGGGGTGAAGGTTGGTCAATTGACTCTCGCACTTGCAGCACTTCTATCTCATCGGCCGTGAAATAGCCTGACCCGCCGCCGAACAGAGCATAGCCCCAGCTGCTATTCTTCTCCCCGGTGTAGCCCTCAGGTAGAAGGCTCATGGGGATTCTCTGAGCGCAGCTGCGAATGTCGGCAGCAGTCCGCTTATTCCTCGGACCCAGCCCAGACTCAGCCACCACACCACAGGCCAAAAGCTGATACGTCCCGATTATGAAATTCGCACCACTCACATTCCCCTCCCTCCCCGCCACCTCCACACGCTTGATTACTGGGCGGATCTCGATCTTGGTCGGCTTGGGAAAGTGCCCGGCCAGCGAGAAATGCCACAGATCACACGGGTATGTATTCTGACAGTCGTAGAAGTTGCTTCCCGTTCGGTCGTCGGGCAGCAGCAGACCCTTGCTGATGAAGACGCCGAAAACATACTTGTCCTTCCTGATGACCAGCACGATAGGCTTCGCGTCGCCCACTCTGTCCAGCAGGTCGCCATAGGTGGTGCCGTGAACAGACGTCCTACACACACACAGACACAGAATCTGCCCATCATCCCAGCTGTTGGCATGATGTGTGTCTACCGGTAGAGTGAGGTGAGTTCTGTGGTGTCGTTGCCCCCCAGTAGGCCGAGCAGCCCCTCATACTCTGACGCTGACAGTGACGTGCCGTTCGGCGGGGTAACCTCCTGCAGGCCACGCAAATGGACCTGGACGCATGAGTCAGACATGGACACACTTGATGAGTGGATGGGTGATGGCGTCTGCGTGCACCTGTTGTCCCTCCACCACACAAAGGACGATCAGCAGGCCAGCCACTGCCCGAACAAGCATCGCGTGTGTGAACAACAAAAGAAGAGAAGAAAAGAGAGGAGAGAGGAGAGATCCACAGAACAGGAACGCGACGAACCAAACAAACCGCACGATTGGGTCATTGCGAGGTGCCCCAAGATCTATCGCGTGCAAGGACTGCGCTCTAACTCACTACTTCTTGAGCTCGCACAATGCCAAAAATTGTGAGTTGGAGGAGAAGAAGGGCCTTGTCATCCTTCTGAATTCAGCTCGGGCGATATCGGTTCTTGTCGAGGTGAGATCTGTTGTCTGTGGACGTGGTGCGTGCGCGCGAGGCATGAAGGCACGACTGCGGGCAGAGAAAAGATGTGTTGTGTGCCATGGTTTCCCTCTCCCGTCCGTGATGTGTGCTACGGGCAGGTTAGGTTGGTTTGGTTTGTGTGGAGGGCTCTGAGGGATCAGGAGAGAAGCGACTATGGACCGGTTCAACATGATGCAGGTGGGCTAGGTGCGTGTGCTTTGCTTGCGGGAGGGAGGGAGGGAGGGAGGGAGAAGGGGTGCATCCAGATTAAGTCGTGTGTGTGTGTGTGTTGCGTGTGCTGTGCTCGGTCATGATGTATGTATGCATCAGGGTGGAGGTGGCCCTCCTGTCAGACCTGGTGAGCATTCTCACCTGACCTGCACACAGAGAGAGACCTCACACGCCCCTGTATCGTCTGTCTGCGTGTGTCCCCTTCTTGGTGATGTGCAGGCCCTGTGGCAGGTAGGAGCGTTGAGTGTGGAGTGCACACAAGTGTCTGTGTGTCCATGGGGATCGTGGATATATGAGGCTGTGTGTGGGTGTCTGTGTGGTGTGTGTGTCAGGTCTGCAGCAGCAGGGCCAGCAGCAACAACAGCAGCAGATGGGGGGCCCGGGTGCGGGGCCATACCCACCCTCAATGCACGCCAACATGTACGCCATCCGACAGAGCGCACACATCCACGTGTGTGTGGATCTCTGCATGCGTGTGTGCGCAGGCTGCCCCATTTCGCTCAGCAGCAGCAGACCAGGGCGGCTGCGGCACGCATCGGCGCAACGCAACTCAACCCTAATGGTCAGTGCAGGAGTCAACATCACAAACACACACACACACACACACACATATACACCTGAGCTGCATCCTCGTGGAGTGTGTCCATGTCCGTGTCCATGTCCGTGTCCATGTGTGTGTGGTTGTCAGCTGGCGCATTCTACGACGGCTCGATGGACTTCGTTCAGCAACAGCAGCAGCAACAACAGCAGCAGCAGACACGAGCCAACCCACAACTGTATGCGCAGCGCACACCCATCCCTGCACACACACAATGGATAAATGGATGGATGGATGTCGTCATGCAGGCGTCCTGACGCGATGCCGTTCTCAATGGGCGGCACATCGGCCTTCAACACCGCTGGTAAGTGGGAGGGAGGGAAGCAATGCACACACACACACACACACAGATGGTCATTTCGCTGTTGACACACATGGGTGTGTGTAGGTCTGACAGGTCACCAGCAGCAGTCGATGCAGCAGCAGGGGCAAGGTGCGATCGATGCACACACACACATACACACACGTGTCTGTGTCGATGATGCGTATTGTGCCTGCGTGCAGGGTTCCCCCAGCAGAGCACTGGATTTGGCGGCGGCTATCCATGTGAGCAACCACACACACAGACACTCTCCCTCTCTCTCTCCCCCTCTCCCCCTCACACACACGGAAATTTGGATGTCTGTGGCCATTCTCTCACACACAGACGGTATGGGAGGCGGCCTGCAATCTCAGCAGCAACAGCCACAAGGTAAGCTAACCCCGGGCACGACGCGCACACCTTTCTGCCTGTATCCATGTGTGTGTGTAGGTGGGGGGTTTGTGCGTCAGCCCCAGCCACCAGGCGCACAGGCGCAGCAGCAGCTCGGTGCAGGGGGGCCGCAGCAGCAACAGGCCGCGGCAGCTGCAGCGGCGCAGCAGCAGGCCAGTGCCTTGCAGGCACAGCAGCAGCAGGGAGGTATGTTGATCCATCCATCCATCCGTGTGTCGATGTGTGTATGTGAGTGTAGGTGTGCGTAAGCCCTCGCCGACTCAGCAGCAGGCGGGCCAGCAGCCGGGAGGTGCCAGAGGTATCAACACACCACACTGCCACGCCCTTGTTGACACACATCGCCGCATTTCTGTCTGTCTGTCTGTCTGTCTGTCGTTGTGGCTGCGTCAAGTAGGTGTGGCCGGTCAGCTGGGGGGCTATCAGCAGCAGCAACAGGTGCACATGGTGGATGGATGGATGGATTTCAGCACCTGGATGTGATGTGGTGTGTATGCAGCCTGGTGGTGCTCTGCAGGCCCGCATGGGCGCCGCAGGAATGCTCGGTAAGTAACCTTACTGCCCAGGTCCCCCACTCCAGCAGACTCCACACACACACACACACACACAGAGAGAGAGAGAGAGACACAGTGGTCTCTGTGTGTGTGTGCTGCAGGAGGCCCCCAGCAGCCGTCTCAGCAGCAGCAGCAGCCCTCAGGGCAGCAGCAGGGTGGCGTCGGTGCAGTCGGTGTGGGCTCGATGGGCAGCTCATCGCCAAACCCACAGCAGCAGGGGCAGAATGTCCTCGGACTCGGTGCGCCAACCACACACACACACACACACAAAACACACAGACGCACAGACAGACAGACAGAGAGAGAGATTGTGTCGTCTTGTGTGTGGCGATACATGCACAGGTCTCAACCTGCAGTCTGGCGGCAGCCTGCAGCAGGCAGCCCAACAGCAGCAGCAGCAGCCTGGTGCTGGAGGCTCCCCGACCAGCAAGCTGCGCCAGCAGCAGTACGGTGGTCTGGCCACTGCCGGCGGCCAGCAGCAGCAGCAGCAGCAACAGCAGCAACAACAACAGGCTGGGGGCTCACCGCGGAAGCAGGTACGCCCCCATCCCCCTCCCACACACACACGCGTGCCCATGTGGTTGTGTTGTGTGTATGTGTATGTGTATGTCTGTGTGTTCTCACACACACAGGTTGGTGTGGGTGGTGTGGCTGAGGCGCAGAAGAAGAAAAATGGCACCGCCCAGCAGGACGCTGAGCTGCAGAACCTTCTGTAACCAACCATTCACACACACATGGATGGATGGATGGATGGAAAGCACGTGCCCACCTCTATGTGTGTGTGTGTGTGTGCGGTGCAGCGCTGAGATCTACGCGCCGCCCAGCGGCCCCCCCGACCCCTCTCGCATCCCTGCTGCCGCACGGGAGATGACGCGCCACGACCTTCTCTCCGGACCTCTCAATGACACCGGTGCGTATCTTGCGTACACACGCGTCGTGTGTGGATGTGTGTGTGTGTGTGTGTGCAGTGATGCAGTTCTACCAGAAGCATCAGCGGTCGTCCATCGACCCGAAGGACCTCATCCACGAGAGCACACTCAAGGCCAAACTGTCAAACAGGTCAGTGAAGTGAGCAACAGCAATCGGCAGCGGGCACACACGCCCATGTGGTTGTGTTGTGCGTGGCTGTGCAGGTGTCACCATGGCTTGCTGGGCATCTTGAAGGTCATCCGCATGACAGACCCCGACCTCAACATCGTCGCACTCGGTATACTCACCCACCCGTCCTCACACACACACACACACACACACGTGATCACACACAGCTGTGTGTGTATGATCATGTCACATGACCAGGGATGGACCTGACCACTCTCGGCCTCAACCTCAACTCACCAGAGTACACACACCACCACAACCACAACCACAACCACAACACGAATGCATCAAAACACACTTCTCTGCCATGTGTGTGTGTCTGTGTGTGGTCAGGTCACTGTATAGCTCCTTCTCCTCGCCATGGGCAGAGGCGCCGCTGCAGTCATCGGACACGCCAGAGTACGCTGCCCATCCGCGCACACACACACACACGCCTCCATCCCTCCCTCCCTCCCTCCCTCTGTGCGTTGGTATGGTGTGTCTGTGTGTCCCTGTTCCTTTAGGTTTTCGCTGCCGTCGTGCTACTACACGAACCCCAACCTGCACAAAGTCGAGGTGAGTGAGTGATTGCGTATGTGCGAGGGGTCTGTGTGAGGGAGGGGTCTGTGTGTGTGTGTGTATGGTGTGCATCTGTCTGTCTGTGTGTGTCAGGTGTCGACCTTGAAGAAGGTCAACGACGACACGCTGCTGTACATCTTCTACAACTGCCCAAGAGACGTATTCCAGCCACAAGCTGCCAACGAACTGTAAGCCCACACACGCACACACACACACACACACAGAGAGAGAGAGAGAGAGGCCGACAGACACAAAGCTGCACTGCATTCGTCTCTCGTGTGCGTGTCGACAGCGTCAATCGCAAGTGGCGTTTCCTGCGCGATAAGGCCCTGTGGCTCAAAGAGGAGACCGACAGCACAAGTACGTCAGGCCACACCCACACAGTGCAATGCACCAGTGCACCTCTCTCTCCCCTTCTGTGTGTGACGCATCAGCTGACAGCAAGCAGTGGACCTACTACGACACCGAAACCGGCCAGAAGAAGTGAGCACCCCGCCCCCCCGCCCCCCGCTCCCCTCTCACACACAAAGGCACCCCACACCCAGCCGCCCATCAACACGCAGAAAGAGGGAGACAGAGAGAGAGAGAGAGAGAAGGTCCATCCTCTCTGTCTGTGTATGTGTCAGGACGTACGTGGGCCCCCCTCCCTTGGAGAAGGATTTGCTTGAGTCCGCCCAGGCCATCGCACAGCTGGCGCAGCAGACCATGCCCAAGGCGGGACCACCCTCAGCCGACGCCACCAAGACACAACAACAGCAGCAGCAGAGCCAGCAGAGCCCCGCCAGTGCCAGTGGGAGTAGTGGGGGGCAGAAGACCGATGGCTGAGCTCAGCTGATGCATGGATTGACACTCGATGGGTGCGGCGAACACTCGATGGGTATGTGTGTGCATTAATATTGTTGGCGGCGAGAATTCATTCATTCATTCGTTCAGCTGGTGCGGGGCGAATGGATGCACGTGCTGTGGTGGTGGTGGAGGGGTGTAGGCGACGAGTGGCGTCGGTGTTGCCGGTGGATCCAGACCAGGTTCACCAGGCACTGGCAGCGTCCCTCTCGCCTTGCATCCATCCATCCCTTCACTGCTGCATGACGCACAGACGGGCACACGGGTCATGGTATGGTCATTGGACACACACACACACACGTGCATGCCTGTGCGAGTGACAGTGAGAGTGAGAGCGACAGTGAGAGTGTGTGCGTATGGACTCATTAATGGCATTTTTCGCCCTCATGAATTCAATCACCCCCCAACACGTGAGCTCGCAGAATGCAAAGCTCGCGCGAGGTGTTTCCGCCGACCCCAGCAGTCCCCTCTTGGCTACTCGATCACACCGACAAGGCTACTTACACACACAAGAGCCAAGCCACCAAAGGAAAGAGGTGACAGAAAGAACACATCAAAACAATCGGATTGCTCCGCTTCTTCCCATTCATGCGTCTGTACAGCATCGATCATCCCATGGTGCCTAGATAGTGTATAAGAAGGGGGAAGAAGCCTACCTACATCGCTCGTGAGTCGGCATGATATACTCCGACGGCTATGCTGAGGGCGAGCCCCGCGTGGAGTTTCGCACTGACGTCGACGATGGTGGTGGGCAGGGAGCGGGCACGGGGACGGGGCGGCTGTTTCCTTTGGAAGAGCTGTACTTCTGCGACGCGTAAGTGTATAATAGGTCTTGAGGGAGGGAGGGAGGGAGGGAGGGAGTGAATGAGATGGACGGCTGTGAGTGCAGGCAGGCAAACCGCCCTGGTTGGATGATGGTGTGTGTGTGTGTGTGTCAATATATGATCTGTGTGTCGGTCTGTGTGTCAGGTGTTCTTTGGTGTGTTCTCGTTATGGCTTGACTGAGGAGATCGACAGCTACTACTGCCCACACTGCCTCGAGAACATGCCCTCCAGCGAAGCCATGCTGTACCTCAACAGGCAAGGCACAACGATTAGATACACACAGACACGCACACACACACACACAGAGAGAGAGAGAGAGAGATGTTGGGGTCTGTGTGTGGCATCCATCGTCTGTGTGTGTCGTTTCTTTCTGTAGGTGTTCCAAGTGTTTCGAGTGCCCCATCTGCTTCAACACCCTCACCATCACCGCTGCACACGACGGCAAGTCAGTATGGACATCTTCACGCGCAGAAGGGCCATTTGCGCCCATTTATATGTGTGTGTGTGCATGGGATGGATGGCGTGTGTACTGTGCCGTAGGTGTTTCTTCTCGTGTCAATTCTGCCGGTGGTCTTCGGGCGAAATACAGCTGGAGGCAGAGAAACCTGACATGCTCGTCGGTAAGAACCTGACACACACACAGACAATCAGATGCAGTCTGTGGGTCTCTCTCTCCCTCTCTGTGTGTGTGTGTGCAGCTGCGGCCTTTCAGAAGGAGCGTGACTCGCCTCACAGAACAGAGGTAGGTAACAGAGGCGGGCGCACACCACACCCATGTATGGGCCTGCACGTGTGTGTATGTGTGTGTATGTGTGTGTATGTGTGTGTGGTGTACAATCAGATGAACAAGCTGGTCGAGACGTTCCGCAAGGCCTCCCAGGAGATCACACGGGGTATGTCCGCCCGCACGGCCCACACACACACACACACACAGAGAGAGAGAGAGAGAGAAAGAGAGAGAGAGAAACAGACGAATGAGATGGCCGATAACCTATGTGTGTGTCATTGCAGAGAGGGAGCTGCAGGCCCGCATGCGTCGGCGGTCCATCACGCTCTTCCTGCCTGCCACCAGCGGCGAAGGGTATGCACACACATACACACACACACACACACCCCGAGAGAGAGAGAGAGGGGGGGAATGTCTGTGTGTGTGTGTGTCCGCTCGGTCGTTCGGTCGGTCGGTGTCAGGTCGAAGAGGGGTTCCAAGAGTGGCGGCGGCGCTCACCCCTGGGTGGTGGAGGACCTCGAGAACATGCTCAAGGACAAAAAGACCAAACTCAAGACGTCCGCTACACTATGGACCGACCCATCACATGCTCAAATCGTCCGTCGATCGCTGTATGTGTGTTTATGGTTTGTCAGGATGTCGATCCGCACGACGACCAAGAAGGGCGTCAGGATCGAGAGCATCTCGCTCAAAGACCTCATCGCACCCTCTGGTGGGTCGAAGCCCTCTCTTAAGACCATGATGCACTCCGTGTTTGGTTGTGTGTGTGTGTGCAGATGAGAAGGCCAGGAGTATAGCGGAGCAGCTCAAGTCCCTCGACGAGACGCCAACTGACACAAGTACGCGGACAGACCCCCCATGGCTGCACTGCACTCCCTCCCTCCCTCCCTCCCTCTCTCTGTGTGTCCGTTGTGTGTGATGTGTGTGCAGTAGCATCGCTCGATCAGCGCACCAGATGCATCAACGAGGAGGCCCACACACTCAGGTAAGGCACACATACACACACCACACACACACTGTCGCCCACACACGTGTGTGTGTGTCCGTGCGTGTGTATGTATGTGTGCCATTCTCCAGTGGTCTGATTCCCTCGCGCAAGCCGCTGCTCACCAAAAGGTCGCGGAGGTGCAGACAAGTACGTGATCGTGATATCAGCCACACACACACACACACACAGAGAGAGAGAGAGAGAGGGGAAAGGACAAACTAACGTATGGATCTGTCTCTCTGTGTGTGTGTGCCATCTGCCATCAGTGCACCCGTTATGTGGTGAAGCCTCAGATCAACCCCTGCAGCACCCCGCCCTTCCAGAAACAAAACATCGCCTGGCTATACGTACCCAGGGTCCTCCTCGTACACCCTAACCCCAATGAGATCGGGTCAGTGGGTCAGTGGGTGGGCGAGAGGAGGAAGGGGCTGGTTTGACATACGGAGAAAGAGAGAGGGAGGGAGGGAGCGAGGAAGGCTCGTGCACTCTCTCTCTCTCTCTCTGTGTGTGTGTGTGTGTGTCCCTTTAGTGTGGGCCGCGTCATGTCGGTGTCGTTTGCCATGTACAACCCCGTCGAGAGCAACACCACCGTAAGTAACATAGGAAGGATGCTCCCTTAAGACACGAATGTGTGTTGTGTGCACATGTGTCTGTCTGTGTGTGCGTCAAGGCGAGGTTCGCCGCCGACGCGTACAACAGAAACATATCAGAGGGCGAGGAGGAGGAGGACAGGGACAACAACAGCAGCAGCAGTAACCCATTTGGCTACACCATGGATGTGAGAGCGAGCGGAGAGACGAGAGGGAGGGAGGGAGGGAGGGAGATCAACAAACTGTGTGTGTGTGTGTAGGTGTTGACAGAGCCTTTTGAGACGGTCATTGGGCCGCACAACGAGCTGCAGGACGTCCATGAGGTCAGTCAGTGTCGGTGTGTGCATCTGTGTTGTGTACATCTCTCTCCCTCTCTCTCCCTGTGTGTGTGCGTGTGGGCAGGGTCTGATTGAGGAGGACTCTGCTGCCGTTCCCACCGACGTACTCACACACACACACACACATCCCTCCACACACGCACACATTCCACCATTGTGTGTCCAGGACAACCCCGAGATCATCACTGAGCGAAAGGGCAACAAAATCATGGTACGCGCGCACCAAGACGCACAAAGCACAACACACAGAGAGGCCCCTGTGTATGTGTGTAGGTGTGCTTGAGGGTGAAGCCGCATGACGACTCGGCCGGCAAGGAGGCCACGGTGAGCCTTCAGTCACACGCTGTGGTGCATCGGATGCATCTGCTTGTGTCTGTCTGTCTGCCTGCCTGTGTGTATGTCCGTTGGTTGTCAGTTTGGCATTCCGGTTGAGTTGTCCTTTAAGGACCGCACTATGAAGGAGCACAACACACACATACACCTGGTTGGTGACCACCACACACACAGACACACACACACACACAGAGGGAGAGAGAGAAAGCATGTGTGTGTGGGTCGTGTGTGTGCAGGTGTTCACTTTGGGAATTATCAGCGGCGCCTCTGAGTGACTTGGGTGTGTGTGGTGTGTGTTCTGTGGGGTGGATGAGAGGGGCTGTTTGCTGCCTTGCTGGGGTTGGGTTGTTGATACCTGATATGATAGATCGGTTCGTTCGTGTGCATGTGTATGTATGTATGTATGTCTGTGTGTGTGTGTGTCTCTATCGACGCCACGTGTGTGTGGATTAGCTATACGACAGACGACGTCTCTCTGCATCTCGGTGTCTCGCGTGTCTGCCTGTCTGACAGCCTGTACACCCACCCCACACCGCCCTCTACACCCATCTAAACACCACACACGTGTCTGTCAGTCAAAACTTCAATATGTCCTTGAAGGGGTCCTCCTTCCGCTTGTCCTGCTGCACAAACGAAAACCCACCTCCACCACCACCGCTCTGCTGATGTGACGGCTGCATGGTGGTTGGTGGCGATGGGGGAAGGAATGCGCTGCCGTGGATGCCGTGTGGGGGAAGCGTGGCTGGCATTGGCGGGAGGGGGGAGGAGCGGCTGGCCGCCTGCACACACGACACACACCCACACAGACACAGAGACACAGAGACACCTGTGCGCGGTGGTCTCTCTCCCGCTGTGTGTGTGTGTGTGTATTGGGGGCTGGGTGCAGACCTACCAGTTCTGCGAATGGGTCGCTCGTATGTGTGGGTGAGCTCCGCTGCTGTTGGGTGAGGCTCGTCATGGGTGCCAGCGCGGCCGTGGGCGAAGAGGAAGGGCCAAAGTTCAGCAACGTGCCTGCACACGCACACACACAAACACACACATTCACTGTGTGTGCAGACCGACAGAGAGGCAGGACACATGCCTGTGTGCATGGAGGGTGGTGGAGGCATTGGCGGCATGTGTGGCTGTTTGGAGGGGCCGGAGGGGGCAGACAGCAGGTCGGCCAGATCCATCAGCGACCTGAGCTCACGCAGCACGAACGCGCCCTCCCTCCCGCCCTCCCTCCCTCCATCTCTGTGTGTCTGTGTGTCTGTGTGTCTGTGTGTCTGTGTGTGGTACCCCTGCTGTTGTGTGCGTGACGCTATTGTCTGTGTGGTGTCGAAGAGGTCCAACAGACCATCACCACCACCACCACCCCTCCTGCCGCCTCCACCTGTACAAACACATCCATCCATCCATCCGTCCATTGTGTGCAGTGGTTCTGCACACACCTCCTGCGGTGATGGGTGGCGCGGGTGGTGCAGGTTTGAGCGAGAAGGGGTTGTCGTCAACACCCACACGCCTGCACAGACACACACGCACACACAGGTGCACACCGACCCATCCCCCCCCTCCCCTCATTCCCCCTCTGTGTGCTCACCTTGCCGCCGCAGCTGTTGCTGCTGGCGGGGGTGGCGGCCTTGATGCTGCTGATGGTGTGGTTGTGGGCCCGTTGAGCAGCAACGACTCAAAGCTTGTCGTCACTATAGTTATCAATCCACACACACACACACACACACAGAGAGAGAGAGAGATGTGTCTGTTCTGTGTGCACACCCATCTGTATGTGTGTGCGTGTGTATGTGTACCGTCTTTGCTGTCGCTGCCGCCCAGGGCCTGGCTCACAGCCTTCTCGTTCTCCTGATTGGCAGCCAGCGCATCAACACGTCCACACACAGATGTAGAGGGAGGGAGGGAAGGAGGGTGTGGTGCTGGCCTGCTGCTTACAGAGGCGCGCTTGTAGTCCTTTTGCCTGTGCTCCTCAACCTTTGCACACACACACATACATAATACATATTTGGCCTCCATCCACTCATCCGGTGCAGTGCCTCCACTGCACCCCTGCGCACCGACCCTCTGGATGAGCTTCTTGACCACGTTGAGCTGCGTGGTGAACTGCTCGCTTGTCAAGGTCTCCTCAGCAAGATACGGCAGCACCAATGGCAGCAGCCGCTCGGCCGTCATCTGACAACCCCAACCCCCAAACCACACACATGCGCCTGTGTGTGTGTGTGCGCGTGTGGCGGGGGATGTGGTGTACCTTAGCGCCGAGGTACTTGGAGAGCGCGTCGGCGCAGCCGAGCACACACATACAGACGGGCGGAGAACGGTCCAGCTTGGACACCTGTCGAGTCGACACACAGAGAGAGCAACGGACATTGTGCTGCACAATCAAATGCATCCACACGCGCACACAAACAGAGACATTGAGTGTATGGGACCTTTTCGAGGACGTGCAGAATCTGGTCGCTGATGGTGGTGCGGTCGAAGAGCGTGAAGAGCTCGTTGATGCACATCAGCGCCTGCACACGCACCTTCAACGTGCCTACACACCAACCAATACATACACACACACACACACACCATTGTCTCCGTGTCTGCCGTTTGCCGCCCCCCCTCCCCTTCTCTCTCTCTCTCTCTCTCTCTGTGTGTGTGTGTGTGTGTGGCTGTCCACTTACTGGTGGTGAGGACGAGCTGGACGATCCTGGGCAGCACTGATGCCTTCATCTGTGTGTAGGGGAACTTCTTGCTGAGGAAGGGCAGCTTCTGGATGCACGGCAGGTGGATCGACGGCTCCTGATGACACACACACACACACACACACACAGAGAGAGAGAGAGAGAGGGAGGTCCATCCATCCATCCATCCATCCATTCGCCCCCTTCTATGTCCCCTCCCTCCCTCCCTCTGTCAGGCCTACGTGCAGCTCGAGGCACTTGAGCACAAAGGGGAGAATGTCGTTCTGCACGATACTCTCACTGGCCATGCCGATGAGGTACTCGAGCTGCTCGACCAGCATGATGACGGCGTCGATGCTCATCTCCTTGGACACCAGCAGCGGGGCCAGGGAGGGCCACACGCTGTTGACAAAGCTGGACTGGTCGATCTTGATCTGCACACACACACACACACACACAAAGAGAGAGAGAGAGAGATGCGCTCATAGAGAGAGAGGCGCCGGAGGGAGGGAGGGGGTCTGTCTTACTTTGTGGAGGACACAGAAGATGTTGGGTAGGATGTACTGGTACAGCTCGGGGCTGGCCAGGTTGTCCAGCAAAGGGTATAACACACGATGCCTGCACGTGGGAACACAATACCATCTCACATATGGATGGGCTCATTGTCTGTCTGTCTGTCTGTACTGTACTGTCTGTGTGTGGATCACTCACGTGAGCAGCCGTTCGTCGTTCATCTCGGCAGAAGTCTCCAGGAGCTTCGTCAGGCCTCGGAGGAAATGCACCTACACAGACGCACACAGACGCACATGGGCTGCACATGAACGGCACAGAGTAGCCGACCGACGTACCTTCTGAGCGTCCTCCTTCTCCCTCAGTGTCGACAGAAACCGCAGCGCACGGATCGTTATCTACGCACACACACACACGTACACACAGAGCCCATTTCTGTTGATGTGCCTCTTCCTCTCTCTCTCTCTCTCTGTGTGTGTGTGTGTGTGTGTGCCTACGTCTTGGAAGAATTCGCTCTGTGTGAATGCGTTGATGTCGGTCCGCATCTCGGGCGACGGGTGGAGCATACCTGCACCCACCCAACCAACCGACCAGTGTGTGGCACACACTTCAGTGTGTGGATGGTGTGTATGCAGAGCACTCGAGTACTTGAGAGGATGGACTGCATGTCGCTCGGCACGGTGTTGGCCCGCAACGGCAGCAACGAACGACACTGCACACATCCAACCAAACACACAGAGATGCAGCGAAAAGCAGGCAGAGAACTTCCTCCCTCCAGGGCATACTTGTGCGCTGTGTCCCTGTCTGTCGTTGGGTGCGCACTGGATGAGCGACCGACGCGTGAAACACTCATACGCAACCAACGCTGGTGACGTGACCCACCGACACACACATCCATCCATATGCGCGCCTCCCTCTGTCTCTGTGTGTGCGTGTGTGCTGAAGGCACCTACCGAGTGAGAAGATGTCGCTCTTGGGCGAGCACTTGCCCGGCAGTGTGGCCGTCATCTCGGGGGCCGCATACCTGACACATCACACAACCACACAGCCACACACTCATACGCATGTCATGTGACGCATCCATTGTGTGTTATTTCTCACTGTATAGGTGGGTCGAGTGAGAACGAGGAGGGGTCCGTCCTGTGAACACATACACTGTCTCTCTCCTACTCTCTCTGTGTGTGTATATGTGTCTGCTGCGTACGTGTTGTTCATCCAGGTGTAGTCGCAGTCCATCAGGCTCTGGCCCGTCAGTGGCCGAGAATACGCCTGCACATCGACACACGCGACTGTGTGTGCTTCCACCAGTCCACACACCCACGTACAGGCGTACCATTCCGCCGAGGAACCACTTGCCGCTCTTGTCGACAAACACAGTGAAGGGCGACAGCGCCAAATGACACAGCTTGGCGTCCTTTACGTTCACACACACACACACACAAGAAGAGAGAGAGAGAGAGATGCGGACATCAGATGTGTGTGTATGTGTGTCTATGTTTATGTGGGTGGGTACGTTGTGGAGGAATGCGATGGCCTCCGCCAGGTCGAACAGGCCCATCTTCAGCTCCAATGGCGACAATACTGACATCAACGATACATACGTCCACCAATGTCCCCCGTGTGTGTATGTCTGTTCGTCCGTACCAACATCCTGGTTGAGCAGCGTGTTGAGCGTGCACTCGACCGGCTTGGTGGCGAAGGCAACGGACGCCCTATCCTCACTCAACGCCTCTGTCGACCGACACATAAACCATACACACACACACACACACACACAGAGGGAGGGAGAGGACGGCCAATGCGCCAGCGCGCAAAAGGGAATGGGACCCACTGCCTGCCTGGCTGACGTACCGATGACGCAGAGCACATTTGGGTGCCTCAGCCTCTGCAGCTTGACGGCATCGTTGCGCAGAACCTCAAACAGGGACTCGCGCAGCGACTTGTCCAACCTGCACACACATGTGCACATGGATGGATACCCATCCTCTCTCTCTTTCCCTGTGTGAGTCGGTGAGTCGATGGGTGGGTCTGACTTGTCTGCCAGTTTCTTCTCGAATACGAAGCATGTGATAGATTGGGACTGCCGCTCCTTGTGGGTGCCCTGCACCAACTGAGAACGCACACACACACAGAGAGGGAGAGAGAGGTGTGCGTCGCGTCTTCGATGCTGACAGAGGCCTCCTTACTTTCCACTTGACGAATCGTCCGCCCTCCCTCTGCTCATCTTGGACGTCATAGTTCTTCAGCAGCTGATTGCCCATCGTCCACCTGACTGCCGCCCACACACACACACAGAGATTCAAACATCCAGACAACAGATCCACATTGAGATAGAAATCATGCATCACATTCTCTCTGCGCTCACTGCGCCAGATTGCTGCTAGTCAGCTCTCAGCCGGTCTGCACACACACAACACAAGACGACCCAGGCAGGCAGGCAGCAGATAGATGGAGCCAACACACGGACGGTGTACGTATGTATCCAGTCCTGCTGCTGCCCACCTCTACTGATGTGATCTATCAGCTGATGGCATCTTGCTCTCCACAGCAGAGGGGATTCCCTCACGTCGCAGATCTATGCGAGCTCACAGGAAGCAGTGAGTTAGAGCGCAGTCCTTGCACGGGATAGGTCTTTTTGGGAACCTGACCCAATCGGTGTGTGAGCCTCGTTCGTCACATCCTGTCTTATCGTGAGCTAGTTTGGATCTCTCCTCTCTTCTCTTCCCCTCTCCCTTGTTGTTCACAATCGCGATGTTTATTCGGGCTGTGGCTGGTCTGTTGACGGTTCTTTGCGTGGCGGAGGCACAACAGGTGTGGACACAAGGACGCGGTGCACCCATCCACTCCATTTGATGCTTTTGGTGTGCTGGCTGACTCGTGTGTTCAGGTCCACTTGCGTGGCCTGCAGGTGACCCCGCCCGAGGGCACTTCGCTGTCTGCGTCGGAGTATGAGGGGCTGGTCGGCCTGCTGGTCCAAGAGGGGGAGCTCGGGGTGCTGGGCAACGCCACAACAAAACTCACCCCACTCTACTGGTAGACACACATCATGCCCTGATGTGCCGTCGGCTGGCAGATGATTCTCCATTTGTGTGTTGTGTGTAGGACGGCTGCACACGGGACGGCCTGGCGCAAAGTGCTTGTCCGTGTGGGTGACGCGGAGCCTCTCGTGTTCATCATTCGTAAGGACAATTATGTGTTCGGCGCCTTCATCAGTGACCGCCTTTTGCTGTCCGACGACTATCCCACCGACCGCCGCGAGTACGAGAGTGATGTGTGGCTCTTCTCGCTGGCCGGCCACTTCCCCCAGCCGACCAAGATCAACCTCTACGGAGGGGGGCAGATCGTGCGGGTGGCGGAAAGGAGAGGGGCCGTGTATGGTGCGAGAGTGTGGATCGGGGGACGTTTCTCACTTGCCATGGGCTATGGTGGCGATGGCCGGTCTGCTGCTGCCGACATCCGCAGCTGCCGTCACTACACTACCGGCAGTGATGTGCCTGAGGGCTACACGGGAGTGAAGAATGAGAATGGCACTGCCTTTCTGGGCGGGTCGATGGAGTTCATGGCCGACGATATAGAGGTGCTGCATGTGATTGGGTAGAGGAGGAGGGGGGCGGATTTGCCTTTTCCCTCTATCTTGCTGTACATCTAGAGGCAGGCAGTGATACATCTGCCGCCCTCTCTCTACGTGTCTGCCTCTCTGTCTGTCGAGTGGTTTCCCGGCACACTGCTGGTGCCCCAATGTGGGTATTTGTTTGTTTGTTTGTCTGTCTGTTTGTTTGTTAATCAGTGAGTGTGTGTGTCTGTGGCGGCTGGACTGACTGTACTGAATGAATGGCTGTGTCTGCATGTGTGTCTGCAATTGTCGTTGTCCTGCCCTGATGTCTTTCTGTGATTATGTGTGTGCGTCGGTGAACTAGGCCTGGCCTGCATGACACTAACTTGTTCGCTGTGTGTTTACTTTTTTTCTGATAAGCCTGCTTGCCTCCTCGCCTTGTTGTGTTTGTGTGTATGAAGTAGATGGCGGTGTTCATGCGGCTTCATAAACAGAGGGACAACAGCTGCACATTTTCTTGACCCGATGCCTTGCACCAGCTGCAATTCACAAACCAAACGCCCCCACCAACGTTCGTCGTACACACACATACGCACATCCGCACCGACACCACACACGAGTGAGGCTGGCTGCTGGCGACAAAGCAAGCACAGCACACCTAATCAGTCGCGCCAGCAGGCGTTGATCCATGTCAGTCAGACAAACCTATGTATTAGCCATTAATTCGATCAATCATACACTCGCCCCACATATGGAGCGAACAGAGATATATACGCCATTCGAATCATACATCCCTCCCCCCACCTCAATCAGTTGTGTGTGTGGTCCCCTCCCAGTAAGGAAGACACCAATCGATGACAACGTGTGTGTGTTGTGTACGGCGCCGAAGACGTACTTGTCCTTCCTGACCAGCTCCACCACCTCCTCCCCCTGAAGGCTTTATGGCAAAGGTGCTCTAAGCTCGAACGGAGCGATGGTCCGAAGATGGAGTCAGTGGAGATGGTGTGTGACGTGTGCTATTGTAAGTGGGAGGCTGAGGGCTGCCACGTGCCCATGACACTCGGCAGATGCGGTGAGCCGACCGACACATATGGTTCGCAGGTGCATGGAGGATGATGGATCCGATGCATTTCCCCTCGTTTGTGATGTGTGTGTTGATACGATGCATGCAGGCCATTCACTCTGCAGTGATGTGAGTGCGCAGCACAAGACAACCATCCCGCACAATGCACTCATGGTTTGTCCGTCTGTTTGTTTGTGTGTGTGTGAACACCTGCAGTGTGTGAGTGTCATCAAGCAGGCCGATGGAAGCACCGAGTGCCCCACGTGCAGGTCAGCAAGACAAGGCAGATGTCCCGCTGTCCACATTCTGCCTCTCTCTATGTGTCTGTGTGAATGTGTGTGCAGGGTGGTCAGCCCGGCTGCCAGCGTCCTCAAGAATTACGCCATGATCAGGCTGCTCAGGCCTCTTCGGAAGCACCAAGACTCGGCAAGAATCACCAAGTAAAAAAGCAAGAGAGAGCGGCAGAGGCAGCCATCTGTTCTATGAATTGTTTGCTGGATTGCTTGCCTGTAGTGTGGAGGGGCGTGTTGGCGATCTGCGTGTGGGGGCATCGTTGTTTCCCTCGCTACACAAGCCACTGGTGCGCACTCACACTGACACGCACGCAAGCAGCGATTCATTTGTGCAGGCGGTGTGCTTGGTGCTGTCGTGCAGGTGGCTCCGCCCGTGGGCAGCTCTCTGGGCGTGTGGGAGTACTACGGCCTGCTGGGCCTGATAGAAGGCGACGAGCGGCTACGTTCTGTCTATCGGTAGGTCGGCAAGGCCACCCACACATGTAATACAGCAGTCTGATGTGATATATATGTATGTATCCATCTGTCTGTGTGTCTGTCAGGTCCTCGCGAGACGGCACCACATATGCCAATCTGCTCCGCTGTGTGGGCGACAAGACCGGCCTGGTGTTTATCATACGCAAGGACATGTATGTGTTCGGCGCCTTCATCAGTGACGGCATCTGGGAGCCCGATGACCCCACCGATTGGCACTACTACCCGTGTGATGTATGGCAGTTCTCGCTGGCCGGCCACTTCAAGAAGCCGACAAAGATTGAGATTCGCCGTGATTGGCAGAATGTGCGGGTGGCGGGGAGGGAGGAGGGGTGTATGCTCATCGATGCGAAAGTGTATATTGGGGGACATCTGTATTTGTATGATGGCCGCTGTAGCGGTCCTGGTGAGGATGAACAGCCAGCTGCCGACATCCGCAGCTGCTGTCAGTGCACTCATACCGACCATGTGCCTGAGGATTACATGGGAAGGAGGAATGAATATGGCACTGCTCATCTGGCTGGGTCGAGTGATTTCATGGCTGACGAGATAGAAGTGTTGCATCTGAGTGGGCAGCAGTGAGCGAATCTCATTGCGATACTGTGTGCCTTTGTGTATACACGCGTCCGCCTGCCTGCTTGGTTCGACAGGACGGTGGGCGTGGTTTTTCCCTGCGTGTCTGTACAGACATTTCGCGTCATACGCGCACACATGCATAGACGGACTGTGGCTGCAGAGACGATTCTGCCGATTTTGCTTTGATTGTGCAACACACACCATGCAATCCCTCATGTCATCCAACCCATCACCACCGGCCCACCGGCCCAACACCAGGCAACATATCACTAATCAATGCCCATACTTGTTGCCCATCAGGGCCCCAGTATCGAGACTAAATCACCGCAGCGCAAGACGGAATGCAGCCATTGACATGGGGAGACGGACATCAACTGGCTGAGAGGCATTGCCGCATAGAGATGGCGGCGATGGTCTCGGTGAGAAGACAGTCGGAGCGAGAGCCATGGACATGACGATTCATGACTCTATCCAGCAACGGCACTCCAGGACACCATCCTCTTCCTGCTGCAGCAGCTCCGGTGTGAAGGTGCCCACCTTCCCAGCGGTTCACACCGGCTATGGCGAAGACTGCTGGGAAGGTGGGCAAGCAGCCCCAGACGAACAGAAGAGTTCGCACCAGGGGCGCCTCATTGACCGGTGTGAACCGATCGATGGCCGCCAGGCGGATGAACATGCAGGGGCGGTGCGGGCGACGAGGCGCTGATCTCTGTGTGTACCTGCAGTCAACACAGACACACAGAGATCAGCCAAAAGTACCGCTTTGTACGGCCAAGATCTCAACCGCCGCTGTACGGCAGTAAATCGCGAATCTCGGACCGCTGCCCGGTGTCCTGCCGCGTTTCCGTCCATCCCTCTCAGGCTCTCCCTTGGCTGTTCAGCTCACCAGATGATGCTGTTTGTCGCTCTTGTCTGCCTGTTGGGCGGCGCCATGGCCCAAGAGTGCTCGCATGGGAGCGCGGCATATTCCCTCAAGAAGGCCATCGAGAAGATGGAGAGCGACGGCACCCTCACTGAGCCCTTCATGTGGGGCACTGCTACGGCTGCCTATCAGGTGCGTGCGCGAGTGGCTTGCGCCAGTGGCCTCTGGTCGTTGAGATGAGATTGTGCTGTGCTTGTGCTTGTGTGTGTGTGATTGTAGGTTGAGGGCGGGTGGAATGAGGGCGGTCGCTCCCCGAGCCACTGGGACACATTCACACACAGCAGAGGGATGGCAAACGTACGTACAGGCAGACAGGAAAATGACACACACACACATCCACCCAACCGTCTATCGGTGTTTGTGTGTCTGCAGGCGGATGTCGCTTGTGACTTCTATCACAAGTATGCCGAGGACATCCAGACGATGAAGCGGTGAGGATGGATGACAGCCACACATGTGAGCATCCTGCTCTGTGTGTGTGTCAGGCTGGGCTTCACCCACTTCCGCTACTCAATCAGCTGGTCGAGAGTCATGAACGGCAAACAGAGGAACGAACAAGGCGAGACAGACAGACAGACAGACACCAACCAACCACCCCTCTGTGCGCCATGCCATCATGCATGTGTGTGTGTGTGTGTGTGTGTGTGTGCGCAGGCATCCAGTTCTACAAGGACCTCACGGCCGAGCTGCTGAAGAACAACATCGAGCCAGTCGTGACCCTCTACCACTGGGACCTGCCGGCGTGAGCCATACGGGAGGGAAGGAGGGAGGATGCGCACACACAAGTGGGATGTTGTGTGTCGACTTGTGTGGCTGGCTGGGCGGCGGCTGCATCAATCCATCAGCGACCTCGACTGGCGTGACGACGGTGTGGTGGAGGCTTTCGGTGACTACGCGGACTTGATGTTCTCGGAGCTGACAGACGTCAAGTACTGGCTGACGGTGAGTGAGTGAGACAGACACCCACCCATCGATGTCACTCTCTTCATCAATCTTCGTCTATGCAGCTCAACGAGCCGTGGGCTTTCTGCACATTGGTAGGCAGGGACAGCATCAAAGCAGAATGTGAGCAGGTTCGACCATCGCTGCTGTCCCTTCTTCCACTGGCTTGCAGGGGTATCAGTACGGCATGCATGCGCCGGGCGCTCCTGGCTCCGAGAGTGGTCTTCTACAGGTCGATAGAATGTATTCACAGCAGCACTGGACACACTCATTGTGACGACCGCCCTCTGTGTGTGAGCAGTGCGGTCACAATGCACTCAGGGCACATGCAAAGGTGACTGGCTGGCTGGTTTGGCACACACACACACACACACGTGTTTGTTTGCACACTGCAGGCATATGGCATATGGAAGGAGAAACATGCCCCCCACCGGCCGAGTGCGAAGGTCGGGATCACTCTCAACTGCGACTGGTTTGAGCCGCTGAACCCCGATAGGTACATGCACACACACACACAATGGACTCATGGACACCTCCTTAATGTGTGTGCAGTGAGGGCGACAGGGAACTTTCTAACAAGGAGGTCGACTTGGTGCTCGGCTGGTTCGCCGAGCCGGTGAGACACAAACACACTCCCACGCGAGTTGCAACCATGAGATTGTGTGCGGTGGTGGGTGTGGGTGTGTCTGTAGATATACGGCCAGGGCGACTACTCGTCCAACGTCAAGGCCCACTACGGCGATGTTCTCCCTGTCTTCACTGATGCAGAGAAGGCTGCCATAAAGGGCTCGTCCGATTTCTTCGGGCTCAACCACTACACGTCCACGTATGAGACACACACAAGACACGCACACGATAGGCGAGACACTCATGCTGATGTCTCCGTGTGTGTGTGTGCAGCTATGTTGATTCGACGAGGGCATACGGCAGCCACGAGACGAGGATCAAGAACGGCGCCCCGATTGGGTCAGTGGCTGGATCGAGCTGGCTATACGTTGTGCCTTGGGGCTTTAACAGGATACTTACATACGGTAGGTACACGGACCACACTATCTCCACCCATCATCAACATCGTATCATCCATCGTTCTTTCGTTGTGTTGAAGTCAAAAACCGGTGGAACCCCAGCGCCATAGTCGTCACGGAGAACGGTCAGTGACCACTTATTTGCTGCGCCATTCTTCTCTCTTTGTGCCTTCTCTCTCTCCCTGCCTGCTTGTCTGCGTGCAGGAATGTCAGATGCTGACAGCAGTGAGGTCACCAAACTCGTTCACGACTACAGCAGGTGATGCAGTGTGTGTGTTGATGCATTCTTCACGTCCATCTGTCTGTGCACACGTGTGTGTGTGTTCGTGTGTGCAGGATAGCATTCTACGAGGGCTACTTGCGAGAGATGGCGAAGGCAATCTCGGAGAGCAATGTCCCCGTCATTGGGTACTTCGCATGGGTGAGACTGAGAGAGAGACCGATGCGTCGATGATGAGATATCGGCACATGGGTGATGCGTGTGTTCAGTCGCTTCTCGACAATTTCGAGTGGGCGTCGGGGTATGAGGAGCGCTTTGGTTTGGTGTACGTTGATTTCAACGACCCGGCCAGACCCCGGACCGTCAAAAAGTCGGCCGAGTACCTCGGGTACGTGCGACAGACACACGAATGACACAGAGAGTGGGATCACTGTCTCTCTCTCTTCCCTGCCGGTGTGTGTGTCTGTGTGCGTCATGGATGCAGCGCTTTGAAAGCTCAAATGGCGTCGTGCCGCTGATGCGACGCAATACGAGAGAATGCGATGGAATGCAATGTGTCATCCATACTCTTTGTCACTCACTGACTCGCTCATTTATCTATTCCTCATGATCGATTCCATGAATGCATGGTTAGGTTGGGTTGGGTTGGGATGGGTGGGGCGGGCGGGCGGAGAATCGATGGATCGATGGATGGATGCAAGTGCATCTGTTCGAATTTGCCCTTGAGCTGTGCTGCTGCTAAAGGAGATGAGAGAGAGAGAGAGAGAGAGAGAGGGAGAGAGTTAGAGCGAGAGAGGGGAAAGCATGATACAGGGTGGTCGATGGGCAATAGGCGATAGGCGATTGGCGATTGGACAAGGCAGGCAGGTGTCTTGATTTTGTTTTGCAACACCGCATCAACGCATGCATCAACACACAAGGAGTGTTGGCATCGATGTTCCTCCCTGAGTGAGTGTACACACAGGCGGACAGATAAAGGCTCTTGTTTGAGCGATTTATGTTGTCGATTTTGCTCGAGGCCACAAAGGAGGGCGAGCGAGCGCATTCCTTTATACGTCGGTACATGCATACCTGATAGGATACACTGCATGAGACAGGGGAGAGCCATACATTTCATGCCATGCAGTCAATGATCTGTACGTCTCACATTGCAATCCATCCATCCATCCACTCACGCGTGACAGCCTGTTCTTTTGGATGGTGGATGGGTGGGTGGGTTGGATGAATGAATGGATGGATTCAATTCAATGAACAATCCATCCATGTGTGCGTGCCTTGCCTGACACACACACACAGATACACGTAATGGCGTGACATTGCAGCACTTACTGCATCCATACGGTCATCAGGTGGCAGCTGGCGTGTCCATGTGTCCATATCTACCAATCTGGCTTGCGGACGTGGTTCATCGGCTGCCATCCCTGCTGCAAGCTACCTAACGCAGCCACGGCATGCAGACTGCCCTCATTGGAGGTGCCTTTTCCCCTCACTGATGGCAGATAATCCATCTCTGCCTGCCTATCTGCCCGCACGTCTCGCCCACACACTCACTCACCATGGCGTCATTCATGTTGGTGTTGGGTTGCAAAGACGACGCCGTACAGCTGATTATGATGGCGGCTCACACCCCACTCATCAAGGCGAAGAGCGGTGCCACACAGATTCGTCAGACTCGTCGTCCTACATTATCTTGCTGGATGCCAGTGGATGGCCACCAACGACACGTGCAACAACCGACACGCAAAATACATACGCACACATCCCTGGCGAGAACGGAGACGGACGTGTTTTTTTAATTTCGCGCCGTCATCAGATTCTTCACACAACAGTCACGCCGCTCAAACTGGCCGGCCACAGCTGTCTTGGCCGTCAAGGACCATCCATCACGCC